CTGGTCTCAAAGAAAATTATGCATGAAAGAACTTCCAGTACTGGCTAGGCACACCAGGAACATACAGCAAGAGAGAAGGCATCAGTGGACCAGATCAACAGTTGGGAGAACACAATATATTATATTCTCTCACATTTTATTTTTCCAAAACTAAAGTGAACAATAAAACAATGCTGTTTCTGACTCTCCCTGTGTGCCAGGCAATGTCAGCTCCTAAGATCTTTCTTTAAAAAAAGCAATACAGTCTAGTCTCTGTCTAGGTGATCACCCTCTCTTAACACTGTGGCCAGAAGAGTGGCTCACTGTAGCTTGGAATAGGTACCTACCATTTTAGGCAAAATGGGCACAGTGTGTGATCTGGCTCTAGGCCAACCAGTTGCTGGGAAAGGATTCCTTGTGGAAGCAAGAACAGAGGTTGGAGGACAGAGAGCAACAGTATTTTCTCACTGTCTGTGTCATTTGGACATGAGGAATCAAGTCATGCATTTTGGGACCATGAAGACTCTTTACCTGGAAGATGCAGTTTATACTCTCTGAAGGGCAGAGTTGAAAAGTGGAAAGAAATTGGATCCTTTTCTATGTTGTTGAGTCACTGAAATAAATAGAAGAGCTGACTCATCTATCTCTTGTTTTGTGAAATTATGTATTTTTCTCATTATTTAAGAAATATGGAATTTATTTTTCTGTTCTCCGCAGTCTTAAAAAAAAGTTCTACATTTGTGCTGAAATGCTGAAAGTTTATCCTTTAGCTAAAGTACTTTCTTTTTTCCAAGTAAATATGATGTAAGCAATTAACAACCTTGAGATTACTCCAAGGCACCTCTTATATGTGCTGGGAACCACACAGCTTTTCCAAATGTAAAACTAGAGGGCAGATAATTCATGTATTCATTCAGGCACAAATATTTATTAAGCACCTCTGGTCCAGACACTTCTGGGAGCTATAAACACATCAATGAACATAAAAGACAGGACTGCATATGTTTTATTGGAGGAAACAATAAGAAAGGATAGATGATATAAGAAAGCAATATGTAGAATAGTAAGTGCCTAGGAGGAAAAAAATCAAGAATGGAAGATATGAAGTATCCAGTGGAGGAAGGGATTTGAAGTCTTGGGTAGAATTATCAGTGAAGGTTTTACCAAGACAAAGAAGAATGATGGAGGGGATGAGTCTAAGATATATTGTAAGCACGTTTGTAAATGTCACAAACGTAATCCCAGCACAGCAATAATATGATAATAGAAATAAAAATTAAATAAAAAAGAATGAAGTCAAGGTTTCTGGTCTGATTAATGGAAAAAAATAAGTTGCTAATTCTTAAGGTATGGAGAGAACAAGGGAATATGGAGAGAATGAAAGAGAGAAGGTTAGGGCACAGACTAACAAGAACTCACTTCTGGGTGTGTTCATTTGAGGCCTCTATTAGATCTGTAATGTAGATTTCAAATAGGCAGCTGGGTATATATGTTTGGAGTTGGAGGATTGATCTAGGCTATAGTATGTATTTGAGAATTACTAACATAATTTAAAGTTATCAAGATTAGATGCAATTATCCCCAGAGTGAGTGAAAATAGAAAAAAGTCTAATGGTTCCTATAAGGGTGCAGGAGGATGAATATGGTAGAAATATTATGTACTCATGTATGAAAATGGAAAAATGAGACCTGTTGAGGAGGGGGATAAGGGAGAATGATGGAGGGGGTGAATTCAACTATGATATACTATAAGAACTTTTGTAAATGTCACAATGTACTTCTAGTACAACAATAATAACATTTTCTTTAAATGTTAAAAGAAAAAAGAGGGGTTCCAAATTTTTAAAGAAAGGTTGAGAAAGAAGGACTAGCTAGAGATTGAGTAGAACCATCTTGAAAAGTAGGAGGAATATAAAGCAAGCGTATTGTCTGGAAGACAAGAGAAGCATATGTTTTAAGATTAAGACAGTGAATAATTCAAATGCTGCTGAGACAATAACTAAGATGAATGAAAACTGATCCTTGGCTTTAATATGATGGTTACTGGTGACTTTGAGAGCTTTCGTGGAGTAGATTTAAGAGAAAAATGGGAGGACAGCAAGTATGAGTGACTCCTTCAAGGAGTGTGGCTACAAAGGAAAGAAATAGGGTGGTGATGGTGACAATGCAAGGTGGGGAGAGTTGCTGTACCTATGAGTAGGTACGAAGGGGGTGGGATATAGTGCAGAAAGAGAGGTGTTGGCCTCTGCCTGCTGCACAACCTTTCCATTCACAGTAATGGGTGAAGGCAACACGTGTAGTCAGGGAAACAGAGATTGTTCCTTTTCTTGGGGAGAAATAGGAAGTTAAGATCCTCTCCTGAGTGAGGATGGGGAAGTACTGGAGGTGGAGGAAAGTAAAGGAAGTCTGATACAGTTGGTAGCGAGTGTTAAAGAATGGCAGCGGGAAATAGGATTCCAGGGCTGCCCTGAGAATCCACATGAAGGAGGTGAATGGCCGCAAGTGTGGACCTTTGGCATGGTGGTGCACTTTCAGTGGCAGGATACAAACGTGGCCCACTCAGGCCAGTGGATGCAGCTGTGATTGTGGGTTTCCAAGTGAATGAGAAAGTTCCAGGAACAAGGGAGTGAGGTTCTGATAAAGAATTGAGATTAAGCCTCAAGTGCATTATATGCTAGCAGTTCAGCCAGGCATTATGGCTTGATATCCATCCCCAGAGCAGTTTCTAAACATCTGGTAATAGATAGGAAATTGCTATGATTAATACAAATATTTCATGATTTGTTCTGACATTGCCTATATAAATCCAGCAATAAAAAATTGTCTGACAGTTTTTGGATATTCAAGATTGACAGTAGGACTCATTTTGTAGTGAAATAGTGGCCAATCTTCCCTTAATAAGAAATAATAGTAACTGTAGTTACTAAATAATATCACAGAAAAAGTTAATTTTGAGTTTATTACCATGGACTGAAGTCCAAGTAATTCCAAGTATTCCACCTTCAGAGGCCTGAGAGAAGGATGGCTGTGGGAGAAGTATGGTTTTAGGGATGCTGAGCACACTCCCTCCAAAACCTACCGTGCCTACCAGTCACTGGAGCTTGAGGTGCCAACAGAGGTGCTCCTTGACTTTTTAAGAAAGGCCAAAGACCCTTGAGTCCATACATAAGAGCTGGTGGGAAAGTCCAAGACATTTGTGGATGTGTGGAGGTGCCAGAGAACCAACTTGCTCCCCTCTAAAAGGGCATCCACTTTTTCGACTTTTGTCACAGTGGATGCCGGACCAGTGGGGCAGAATCTTGTAACTTTTCAAATTAATTAAGTCCCAAATTGTGATTTTTATATGAAATATCCAATTCTAAAATGTTGGTAATTCATTTTTTTAAAAAGCTAAAAACACTTGCTGTGGAAAAATAACCACAATATTTTGACATTTGTGGTAAAACAGTAAAATTCCTCTTATGTAAGAGTACTGCTTAATCTGTTATCAATCTTCCCTGCTCAAGTCTTCAGGAGAACATTCCAGCCTCCTTTTGAAGACTTTTTTTTTTTTTGATTGAAGAACAGGGATGCTGTAAGTGGTTCCTGCTGCTGTCACTGGTCAAGGTCGCTTATGAAAGATTCTTGTTTAGTTCATGAACACATGGACAAGTATGCTGGCTCTCAATGTAATCTTTTTCTATTATCTCATGTTTTTTAATCTGAAAAAGGAGACCACAAAACCACAAAAAGTTTGAAGTCAGTAGAATTTTATTTAACGAAATCACTCAAAAGTTTTGTCTTCTATGCTTACCCCTGCATTATATGAATTCTTTTCCTTACATAAATTCAAAATTTCAGTTATTTAAAACTGATTTTCTTTGAAAATGTTTCTAGAAGGTACTGATTTACTATACTTCATCTTTCTTATTTTCAGGTAGATGGCTACTTAACTTAGCTCTCATGTTCCTGCTGAGCATTTGAATATAAGTATATCCTTAGCAGTAAGAGTCAACTATGTAAGAAAGCAGTCCATGGAAAAGCAAGAGTTATATACCCCAACCGCCCCCCCCCCAAGGGAATAATAATGTTAGGAGTGTTCATTTCAGTGATTCAAATAGTTATAGTTGCTACCATTTAAGGCATTTTATGTGTAGAATATCCTTATTAAATGAGTACATTTAGTCTCATTTTGTAAACATGGAAAGTGAAGATCAGAGGGAAGTAGTAACTTGCTCAGAATATCAAGACAATGATGACAGAGCCCAACATTAAGGCCAGGGCTATCTGATCACATCTTGATGTTCCCATTTGAACTATGACTTCAGTTCAACAACTGTTTATTAACACTACATGCTTTCCTTGCCCTGGTTTGGGTATAGAGGTACAATGATGAATGCACAGTTCTTGTCTATATAGGCATTATACGCCAGTAAAGGAGACACAAAGATATATTTTCAAGACAATGCGTTTAATAGGAATTGTAAACACAAACTGCTGTGTAAGTCCTAAGAGAGGAAGCAAGGCCAGTGCCTGGAGGGGATGATGTGCTAACTGAGCATTAAGGAATGAGTAAGAATCAGGTTAATCAAGCTGGGAAAGAACATTCTAGGTTAGAAAATAAACAGGAGAGACAGACATGAAAGAATTTGCAGGTGGTACTTTTAGCAAATGGATAGCAGTAGAGGCTTTCTGTCCACTCAAGTTTAAGTGTGGGGCAGCAAGAGATGGGGTGCTCACCTGTATACTGCAGATGGTAACAATGAAGTAGTCAGATGTGGGTTATTGGCAAAGGAACCCTAGCAGCCAGGTGAAAGATGGATCAGAGGGCACACACTAGAAGCTTGTAGCACTCTTGTTGGTTACTGTGTTTTCAGCAAAATTTTCCATGGAGAGACCATTGTTTTGTGCACAGAGAAAACAAACTTCCCTTATCACCAAGTGCAAGTTGTTATGTACTAATTGAGGTCATAGTAGGGCAGTGGGTGGTACCACACAGGCATAAACAGTATCCCCTCATAAGAAATAAGATGGAAACATTGTCAGCAGAAATCACAAATTTATTAACTCTTAAATATATCAATCAGTCATTTACCATTATGGCAAGAAATATATACAGTGTCCCATGGTAAACTGCAGTGTTCCAAAATGATAGAAGGTAATAAATGTGTAATTCGATTGTGGTGGAGAGAACGAATCACAATTTCCTCACATTGTAGTGTGGAAGACAAACTTGATCTACAGTAATACTTCAACACCACATGCTAAGTTAAAAGTGTAAAAAAAAAACACTCTATACCTATATATTTTTAAATACATGTATGCCACTTATAGCCTCTTCACAAAAAGGTAAAAGAAATTATAAAGGGAAACTGAGGCCATTACTTTTTCACAGATCTCATTGGCAGGTTAACATGGCTCAATACATTTACTGTATATATTCATTTTAAATATATATTGTTTTAAATTGTGTAATAATTATCAGAAAAGCTTCAACCCATCTACCATACATCCACTAGCAACAATACCTAAGGTGATTAGTAATCAACACAGAAAGGTGAAGTGTGAGAAAAAGATGTTTTGTTTGTATTTTTTTGCTTCTGCTTTAAAAATAGGCTTCTGAGGAGTGTATCTATGGTTAAAACAATGCTGCTGGAGAGTCCATGCATTCTAAAGCATTTCAGGGAAGAGAAAAAGCCTCATGGGGATTGAATCTACAAAGGAGAAATGTGAAGCACAAAGAAAACTGGGACATTTCCCTTTTCTTTTTGTTTTAAACTGGAAAATCCTAACTCCTTGGAGGAAGATAATGATACTGACTCAAGAGAGAAGCTCAAAAAGCACAAGTCACAAAGATCAAGTTCAAAACACTTAAGAGAATGAAAAAACATGACTAAGCTCTCTAACTTTAGAAAAGTGCTAGTGACAGGCAGGAAGGACCCTCATTGCAGGAGGTGGAAACACGTGCTTTTGCACAAAACCCTGATCTGCTCTTGATTTGTATTCTCCTGGCAATCTTCCCAGGCAGTAAGGTAGTTACAGCAGGGCCTTACTTATGGTACACAGCCTTAATACTTATAACACCTCCCACACAGTTACAATACCTAACTCCAAACAGGAGCTCAAGCAGAATTTCAAAAATCTTTACTCAAAGTCCTCTTCACAAGTTTTGTGGGCTCTGAACATAATCAAAAGTGCTAGTTCAGGTCCTTCCAAAGGCCTTGGTTTTTATTTTACCTTTACTATGCAAATTACATGTTTAATCTTTTCCTTACATACTACCAGCCAAAGAAAGAAAGGAAAATAAAGAATGGAAAAACAAATGAAAAATAAAAAGGAAGCAAACATAAGGAGTAAAACAAGTAGGATAAAATGAAGAAAGCTGGAAGATATGAGAAAGAGAGACAGAGGGGAAACTCAGTCAATTCACCAGAATGGTGTGAGTCTATCCTACAGTGATCAAACTCACAATGATGTGAACGTTTCCAGTTTACACAGTTTGACCAAAACCAACATGGCTTTGATGGTAACACACCAAGTGATTCTTGCGTCTATATTCATGTGATTTTGCCCACATATCAGCCCACTTTCATTGTTCAACACAAAAACATTCAGAGAAAAATCATCCATTTCAACCAGGATCACAACAGGAAACTGAAGGTATATATATTTTTTGCCTTAAAGAAAAAAAAAAAACAGATTAACAGCAAAGAGATCTAAAAAAATTTACATTTCTCTTACAAACTGTCATTTGGAGAACATTTTTTAAAATTCTGTTAAATCTTGGCATAAACAAAGAAACTTGATGAATAGGTTTTATTTGGAATATTGTGAATTTTTTTTTGTCTGATCTCCCCCAATTATTCTCCAACAGTAATTTAAGTTTGCATGGAACATCCCATCCTGGTAGTTGAAGTGTAAACAATGTAGGAAGGAATATATGATAAGATGATGTATCACATATGCTTTACATGTAGGACCTTCACAACTTCATGCACTCAGAAACATGCATGAAGAGGAGAGAGGACGGCCCAGGGTGACCTCTAGGTGCCTTGAGAACAGAGAATGCAGGAGTGGCACTGTTGATAATTAGCTGAAAGAAGAAAGGGGAGGAGGAAATAAGTTATATTGTTTTATAAAATATCATTCAACTATTTGCCATAGATGTGACTAGGCTACAATTTTATAACTCATCTAAAGATTAGTTTGAAAACACTACACATAAGCTCTTTGCTTGAGATCATTACAAGATAAAATATACAATGTTCAATGAAGACAATATTGAAAAAAGACAACCAGTATTATCTATTTGATCACACAAAGCTAAGTTAAAAATGAAGAGATGAGGTCACAGGCACCCACTCCATTATTAAATCTAAACATATTTCTAAGCATTCATATTCGCTAGAAAAATTTAATAAATTACTATTATTATTTGGTTGAAACAGAAAGTTCAAGTTCATCTTGAGCTTGTTCATTATTCTTAGGCTCCTTAGGAAATAAATCAAATCTTGAAGTCAATTTGACAAGGAATATAGCATCAAAAGTGGAGAAAACATGAATATTCTTATTTAATTCTTTAAAGCAACATCTGAGCACACTATTTCCTAGAAGCTCTGGTATGGTTCTGCATTGAGTGGAGAAAATATTTACAACAGCACCACACATACCTGGATCCTAATCCAAGCTTAAGAAATAAATCTTTTAAAACATTAACACAGGCATGAATTTAATTGCAGTCAATTTTGAATTATCCTCTGGAATTGTTACTTGTGCATTTTAAATTTCATCTTGACTTCCTCTTGTGACCTGTCCTCATGTTCAAGTACCATGACAGTCAGACACAGCACACTAATTTACATATTAACCGTAGCAAACTGTTTACAGGAATGGCAACTTCTAGAAAAATGGTAAGACACTAAAGGGTTCTAAAGTTTAACATAAATTAGTCTGGATAATTGAGAATTGTTTGAATTGACTCAGATAAAATCAACTTTTGATGTGAGAATTCCAGGATTCTAAAATGACACAATCCAAATATTGAGAAGAGATTCTTCTTGGTGTGTATCACCCTTAAAAAAAAAGGTTATGCTATTATAAAATGATGCTGAACAGTAGATGTAAGAGCTCATGCAGAATTGCAATGGATTTTCACAGACTGTGTATGGATTTCATTGAGTATAATGCAGAGCAAATATCCTCAAAAGGAAGAGAACCAGCCATGCAGCTTTGCAGTCAACAGCTCCAGTTGCAAAATCCTCACGGAGCAGATGCTACTTACAAGACCCGTATGTGAATGGTTTTCAGGCCTTAGATGTTTTGCCACAAAGAGGTGCCTCCTGAGTTTTCTTTCCCATTTGGAATACACTGTGGCCTATTAAGAGAAGCCCCATTTAAGCCACCTGGCATAAAAGGAAGTTTTCTTAAATAGGCTCTATCCCATTAACACTTGAGAGGATTGCAAGAAAACCCAGCCCCTTGGTACTGTATGAATGTAATTCCTTCTATATCAACTGGTAATTTGTGTTGTACCTCTTCGGGGTAACAAACACACAAAAACTGGTGTCTTCCTGATCTTCATATTCCTTTTGTGGTCTTTCTTTTGATTACACAGCTATTATTTTGGAAATGAATTTCCACCTACTTTTTGGTCTTTGTTGATTCACTTTATATAAATCCAACAGTGATATGTAATTATTAAGGCTATAGGGAAGGCCTTTGAAAATCACTGTGGTTGATAATGTATTATCAAAACTAAGAAATGACAGATTCTCTGGCATGAGTTGAATGACTCTTTGTGTGAAGTTGACTCCCAAGTCTATACCCTCAAAATTATCAGTGATCCTGGTGAGAGAAGTTGGAGAGAGATCAGCAGTGGGCAAGCTTCTCCTGACTGAGTCTAAACTCTCCTTCCAGCTTTCATGTCATCCCACTTCACTGGTACAACCATTTCCCATGATTCCCCTTTACTACAGCCGGAGTAGCCTTCCTTTCCTGCGAGGTCCTATCATGTTAGCTGAAGTCCTGACACTCAGCTTTTCTCCATTAAGTTCTTTTAGCTTGGACTATCTCCCCCCTTTTCTATCTTTTGATGTCTTCAAATTCCACTTGTCGATCTTGTTTAGAATTCTATCGCATATGCAAAGTGTATATCCCAACTGTCAGAAGCAATTTTCTCTAGTGGTTATTCATTTCATTCTACCCTGAAGCTGATTAAAACTTCATTACACAGTTCTTTTTCTCCGGTGCCAGTGGTCAGCTGCTTTCTAAGCTAGAATACGTTCCTTGGGGCAATGTCTTTATCTTGTACTTTATCTGGCACAGAAGGAGCGCCTACCAGATGTGTGATAAACACGTGTCTGATTATTGATGAGAAGTCAGACAAGACATCTGAGGTACAGAGGTTAGGTGAGACATACTTCCATACCTGATATTTGCTTTTTACATGTTGTCATGTAATTTTTTCCTAATGTCAGTAACTGAGCCCCCGGGGGTAATCTTTGAAGTGAAGTTCATGATGGTACCTTGGCCATATTAGAAACTCTGCCTTATACTTACCTCTCATTCCCCCTTCCCCTTCCAAGTGAAAATGAAGTCACAAATATTTTTCCTTATTATACAAAGCCCCCTGATTTAACCCAATGATGAATCAGTCTGATAGGGTAGTTTCTAAAACTGTTGGGCACTGCTTTATGGTAGGGTTTAGCCAACAAATGGTTGGTCTGATTGATCTTCCTAGAGAAAGTAGAAGGAGCTGGCCTTGGGGGTCGTAATAAAGAAGCTGACAGCCAGGAAATATTTACTTGATGGGTACTGTCGGTGACCCCGAGCGATGAAAATGAACGTTCTGCCACTTTCCATCCCGGCGGTGCCACACACGGGTCTCTTCCGACTGCATTGTCTTTGGCATTCCACTGCCATCCATGTACTGTGTGAGCCTAATGTACGCTATGCAGGCAGCATCGTCCCCTACCAGGTGGACGTGAGGGTTCAGGATGATCGTGTGGATGGGCTTATTGCTTTTGGACAAAGCTGAAAGAGAAAAAGAAAAAGAAAAAAAAAATCAGTTTCTGTATAAAGTAAGCCAAAATCAGTAATAACTTCAGTTGGGATCAATGGATGGAATACTGTTCATCCACTCCTTCATGAATTAGTTAACCTATTTGCACTAGTTGAGTACTGGGTACTGAATAAAATAGAAAGAATAAAAGAAAGAACTAAGTGGATATAATATTTTCTCTGATTCCCTTTAGACGCAATTGGTGCTAAGCTGGAAATTTTGATTTATTGGGTTGGCTAAGAGATGTATTTAATAATTGCGGGAAGTAGCTAGAGATGGAAGCCATGAACAGAGGTGGAGAAGGCCGGCACTGTCCTGTCTTTTCAGTGAATGACCCACCGGGGCAGTGGACACACAGTAGTCTGTGGGATTGTTTCTGTTTGTTGGTGAAGAACTGGGATGAGTGAAACCTATTGAGTGTCAAGTGTGGAGATCAGCCTCCAAAGTAAGGCTGGATGCAGCATGGATTTGATGCAGCATGGATTTGTTTCTGTAGCTCTCATCTCATGACTTCTCCATGTAGCAGGGGTCATTCCATGGCAATCCATTTGTGATCATCAAATGGAAAAAAAATCACAATTTGTTGCTGACCACATGTCTGATTCTCACCATCTGGTTTCTTTTGCCTATGAGGTCCTCACCAGGCTCCAGCTCCTGCTGTTTTAATAGTAACCAGGCATTCTAATTATCAAGCAACCAGGAGATGGGAGGATTTAGTACGCATCACACACTGCTAGTTTTTCTTAGATCACCAGAATAGGAAGAACTGTTTACACTGTTACCCAAATGTGCTTCCCAGTCTCAGATTATTCAATTAAAATGTTAATGGATTAATGAACTCTTTTACTAGAGATGAGATGGTGCTGACTGAGTCAGATGGAGGAGACATGAGATGCTGTCACTTGAGAACTGGTGAACAGAGAATATGAGAACATTTTCTCTTGTCAATGTGAACTTACCAATTAATTCTCTTGCCTTGCTTGTTTGCAAATGCCTAATGTCTATTAGAGAAAGTAATTCATTCAAAACATCTTGCTAATGCATATAGTCACTACAAGTGAACTTAACTATCTTAAAGGTTTACGTTATCGTGCTAATGCAATGAGCTCTCACTGGATTCTCCCCATGCGTCTATAATGTCATTGGGTAAGGAAAAGAGGAACAAAGGGAATTCCTGGTTTACACCGTAGTTGACTTGAAGGATTTCTGCAGGACAAATGGCTTTTGCCAGCTTTCTCTGAAATGTAGCTGTGTCCTCTGAGACACTAACACCCTTGCAAATTGGATGTTTATCCATTTATCTCTTTGCTCCTTTTTATTGACATTTTATCTTGGAAATAAGCACCAAATATGCTAGACAGTCCTCTTCTATGTTGAATACTACAGTGTGCTGTGATTTCTTTTATTTTTTATGTATTAACAATTTTACTAAAACTTGAGATAATACATTTTTGTATGTATGTCGGTTATATTATACATTCATTGTTACTAAATTTGGTATGTTTATGCAAAGACAATTATTTTTCAAACACAACAAATTTTAAATCTGATATATATATATTGAAAACTATATATATATTTAAACTTCAAACATAAAAATATCATCTGGTATAATATGCTGGAGATTCTGGATGAAGGTAAAGATTCTCTCACAGAATAGAGACAAAGAATCTGTGCATCTGGGAGAAGCAGGAAGAGAAGTTGGAAAAGGCAAGTTACAGGATTTGGGGCAATTGTACCATTTTCAAAGTAGAACCGGTGAAAGTCCATTCCCTCCACCAAGTTACCCAATGCCTCAGGCTCAAAGGCAGTAAGGCCTGGGTCACAGATTTTTCTGCAGGAAAAAAAAGAAAATCAATCAATGAATGTGCGAACATGTTTTGTTGTCTCACATGTAAACATTCTTTTTCTATCAGTGAAGGTAAGTCCCTGAAAACACAAAATTTCTATCATAGACCGAGAGCAGATTCCAAAAATGCATTTTGCTGAGAACTGCAGTAGAGACAAAACTAATGTAGCTGGTCAGGCAAGAATGGCTCCTTTAAAATTTTTTTACTTTTTAATTTTCAAGAAGAATTCTCCAGTTTTCCAACTTTTTTTGTGTGTATGGGGAGGTGTTTACCTCAAGGTCTGTGCTTGCTAGGCAGGTGGTCTTCAATTTGAACAACACCTCCAGCAATTCTGCTTGGGTTATTCTTGGGACAGGATCTCACATTTATTCCCAGGCTGGTCTAGATGTGATTTTCCTATTTATGCTTTCCATATAACTGAGATGGCAGGTATGCACCACCACACTCAGCTTTCTTTGTTGAGATGGGGCAGGGGAGTCTCACTAATTTTTGCCTAGCTGGATTCAAACTGTGATCCTCCCAATCTCTGCCTGTCAAGAAGCTAGAACTGCAGTTGTAATGCCCCCCCCATCTCAGTTTTCTAACTTTTAAGTTCACCATTAAAAAATTTTTCTTTGTGTGTGGGGTACTGGTGGTTGAACCCAGGGCCTCATGCATGCTAGGCAAGTGCTCTGCCATTGAGCCATACTCCCAGTCCTAAAATGGTTTTTAAATGTTTAAATGTTCTCCTAACTCTCCAAAGACACAGCCCAAGTCCTGTAAAACCATCTTTGGTTCTCTAACTAAATATTTTTGGAACAATTTTTGACGAATCACACCTTCTACATTCACTTCAAGCAATAGTATAATTGATTTGATGGAAGGCATCACATCCTATTACTTCCTGGCAATGTCCATGACAGTTAATTGAACTTGCATTTAAAGCTTATTTTACTTTCTAAAGGAAATTAGTAGGAGGTTTGAATGCACTTGTTTTCTTTTTTATTTTAGAAGTATAATTCAATAAAGAAATATACCACTCTAGATATTCAGAGAAAGCCAATTTTGGGAGAAATTTATGTATTTAATAAATAGCTGTTAAACATCTATTTGTAGCAGATTCTTCAACACAAGCAGTAAACAACAACTAATGTTAAAACAGAAGTTAATGCAGGCCCCTAGCTAAAATTCTGTATTTAAGGGCAATTTTTTTTTATGCAGTACTGAGGTTTCAACACAGGCCTTCGTACAGGCTGTGCAAGTGCTCTACCGCTTGAGTAACTCCTACAGCCCTTTCACTTCAGTTATTTTTCAGATAGAGACTCTTGTTTTTGCCTGGGGTGGGTCTTGGACCATGCTCTTCCCATCTCCACCTTTGAGTAGCTTGGATTACAGGTGTGTGTGCCACCACACCCAGAACCGAATTTCTTGATGTTTCAACAGAAAAACAAATTTCAAAAGTCTAACTTACTGTGTTTCTTCAAAGTGCATTCTGTTCTCAGAATGTGGAAGTGGTGATTTGTGAAGAGTACTTTTAAGGTAGGAAATCACAGCAATTATCCTCTGTGGAAAGGAAGGCCTTAAACGTGGGGTGGGAGTGAGATTATAAATTGTTTCAGACTGCCTGCTGGGCAGGCATTTTAAAGCTCATGTCAGATATATATACTCTCCTTGTAAGGAGCAAAATGGGAAGAATAGTGTTCATATGAAAACAGGAATTTTTTCTGCCAGGCACTATTATTTCCTATATAAATATGGATTTTGTTTGTCACTATCAGTGAACCAAAATTTCTTACTACCTTACATCAGCTCTGAGGTCATCTGAGAGTCTCTGGGTTATGAGTCTTTTTTACCCAGGCCTCAAAAAAGACTATGTACTTGAAAACCTGTTGATTTGTTTTGCTTTCTATTTTATGTATGTATGTATGTATGTATGTATCTATCTATCTGCTAGCTAGCTAGTCATCTATATCCTGTAAAAGGCTTCAGATTAATAAAAGAATAACAATCTTTTAGACATGTGACTGTGTGTTGTGCCAAGTGTTCTATGGATCAGGAAACAGCTACACCGATACACTCTCCACTCAAAAATGGAAATCCTGTTGAATTATCCCTGGGCCTGAAAGTACAAAATTAGGGCAGATTACAGGCCTCCACAGGCAAAGGAATTAGTAAAATAATGTGATCCCAAGGTATTGCATTATTTAAAATATCCTGCTTTAAACTATCTGAGAATATAGGAAATACTCCACTTTTGCCTGGTTATAATTGCACCCTTCCATAAGCCAAAAGCAAAAAGCACAACATTCAACAGGGAAATGGTATTGCAAAAGGAGTTCTTCTTTTTAAAAAGACTATTCTTTTTGGAGAATCATATGGTTCTAACAAGGTTATAACAGCGAAAATAATAGGAGAGCAGGGTCTATGGTACAGAATTATAAACCATATCATGTAAATGAGAACTGCTACCTCTGACAACAGTGCTCTCTCCTTAACCCCAGGTTTTTTTTTGTTATCATTTTAAAATTCCAGTATATTTTATTATACCACATTAAACATATATATACATACACATTTATATACAAGTGTTTGTATATCTATGCATATACATTTAATTTATAAGAACAGCTCCTGGATTTATTTAGTTATTCTCCTCTATGTTTTATATTTGTCTGTTGCTATAGTTTGGATCTCAACTGTCCCCTAACGCCATGTGTTAAAGGCTTGGTCCCCTGCCCAGGGTGCTACTGGGAGGAGTTGGAACATTCAGGAGGTAGTGCCCAGTGGAAGGAAGTCAGGTTACCGGAAGTCTGCATGCATTGGCACCTGGGGACTGCAGCCTCTCCTCCTCCTCTCTCTTTCACTTCCTGGGCCATGAGGTAAACAGGCTTCTACTGCCACATGCTGTACCACCACAGGCACCAAACGATGGGACCAACTGGTCATAGGCTGAAACCTCTGAAACTGTTAGCCAAAATAAACCTTCATGTTTTTAAGTGGATTATCTCAGGTATTTTGTTACAGTCAGAGAAAGCTAGCAAAGTTATCTATTTGTAAATAATGGGAAAGGTAATACCTTTTTAAGTAAAATTTGGCAAGAATGTGAAAGAAGCAGGAAAAAAAAATTCACACATAATTATACCTCTTAAAGGTGACTTCCTTTTTTACTTTTTGAAAGTCACATTGGCTTATTTGATTTCACTGTTAATGCTTTTTTCTTTTGTAGTTGGAATAATTATGTGTACACGTTTTTGTATTCTCTTGCATATTTTAGCAAAAACATTGTGAGTGGCCCACCATGGTGGTGCACATGGGTAATCCCAGCACTGAGGAGGCTAAGGCAGGAGGATCAAGAGTCCAAGGACAGCCTGTGCTACACAGTGAGACTCAGTCTCAAAAACCCCAAACAAAAAGCCAAACCACACAAAAACCAAAACCAAAACCAAAACCAAACAAAACCCATCAAAAGTATTTTGCAAGCTCACTAGAAGCACTCATTAAAACATGGCACCCAAGATTGCTTAACGGATACTGTATTGTGGGACACAAATGTATTTTCCAATTTTTCTGTTGTTGTGCAAGGTGGGGTTGGGGTGCACGGTGGCATTTACAAAAGTTCTTACAATGTATCAAATATATCTTACTTAATTCACCTCCTCCACCCATTCCTGGAATGGTTTTAACAGATACCATTTTTGCATTTGCATACTTGTGACATATTTTTTGCGCTGTATTCGTCCTCCTACCCTCCTCCCACTGGAACCTCCTCTCCTCTCCCCACAGGACTGGTTCCACACTCCTGTTCTCTGATTTTATAGAGGAAAAAAGGAAAAAAATTGGCATTTTTGCTTGATTGAGATAAAGGTAGCTACACAGGGAGTTTCCTTGTGATATTTCCAGGTATATTTGTATTATAATGCCAACTGTTTCATCTCTTCTATTTTTCTTCATTCTACTTTAGTCCCTTTCTTATGGTGGTTTTGGCCAGTTTGAGAATTCTATATTCCTTCTTTTTTTTCTTTTATTATTCATATGTGCATACAAGGCTTGGGTCATTTCTCCCCCCTGCCCCCACCCCCTCCCTTACCACCCACTCCACCCCCTCCCTCTCCCCCCTACCCACTCAATACCCAGCAGAAACTATTTTGCCCTTATTTCTAATTTTGTTGTAGAGAGAGTATAAGCAATAACAGGAAGGGACAAGGGGTTTTGCTGGTTGAGATAAGGATAGCTATACAGGGCATTGACTCATTGATTTCCTATGCGTGGGTGTTACCTTCTAGGTTAATTCTTTTTGATCTAACCTTTTCTCTAGTACCTGTTCCCCTTTTCCTATTGGCCTCAGTTGCTTTAAGGTATCTGCTTTAGTTTCTCTGCGTTAAAAGCAACAAATGCTAGCTAATTTTTTAGGTGTCTTACCTATCCCCACTCCTCCCTTGTGTGCTAAAGCTTTTATCATGTGCTCATAGTCCAATCCCCTTGTTGTGTTTGCCCTTGATCTAATGTCCACATATGAGGGAGAACATACGATTTTTGGACTTTTGGGCCAGGCTAACCTCACTCAGAATGATGTTCTCCAATTCCATCCATTTACCAGCGAATGATAACATTTCGTTCTTCTTCATGGCTGCATAAAATTCCATTGTGTATAGATACCACATTTTCTTAATCCACTCGTGTGTGGTGGGGCAACTTGGCTGTTTCCATAACTTGGCTATTGTGAATAGTGCCGCAATAAACATGTGTGTGCAGGTGCCTCTGGAGTAACCTGTGTCACATTCTTTTGGGTATATCCCCAAGAGTAGTATTGCTGGATCAAATGGTAGATCAATGTCTAGCTTTTTAAGTAGCCTCCAATTTTTTTTCCAGAATGGTTGTACTAGTTTACATTCCCACCAACAGTGTAAGAGGGTTCCTTTTTCCCCGCATCTTCGCCAACACCTGTTGTTGGTGGTGTTGCTGATGATGGCTATTCTAACAGGGGCGAGGTGGAATCTTAGTGTGGTTTTAATTTGAGAATTCTATATTCATTCTTATATAGAGAGTACATCAACCATATCCATCTTCTTAATTTCCTTCTTTTACCCTCCCCCTCTTGTATGTGAACTCCTTTTAGTGTGACCAGTGTTTCATGATATTGCTGTATTTGTATTAGGTCTTAGTTTCCAATTTTTTGACTATTATGAATACTGTTTCAATGTGCATCTTTGTTCATAATTTTTTGTCCATGTGTTATATTCATTGTCCATGCTCATGTTAATTCTCGTAAAGTAGGATTATAGAATTAAAGCAAAAACCACCTACTTTTATAAAAGCTTTCTGGTATAAAACAACTGGCTCCGTCCCCTCCACCCCCACCACTGCAGGCAGCCTGAAAGCTTGCACCCATTTGTGCTCTGTCTCATAGGAAGGTCACTATTGTCCTACAGTGTCTGTGCCTCTCTGGTTGTAAGTGGAGTTTTAATGATTGCTGATGTGATAGGTAGAAATACTTTTGCATTCAAGTTTGCACAGATGTAGGGATTGGGCATGAGCAGGACTGTATTAGTTTATCTCCTCACTTATGTTTATCTTCCCTGATTTTAAACAGAGAAACATCTTTCTAAGTAGAGATCAGAGTCATCACATTTTTGCACTTAACTCTTTCACTCAAGTGGAACTCACTTTGTTGGTAAGGAGTAAGGTGAAGGCTTAGATGGGTTTATAGCCCAAATAGCTAACTTATTTAAGCCTTCTTCATGCCCTATTTAAATTAAATGCTTTATTTTTACTTGAGCAAAGCAATTGCCTTTTCAATCCTATCTGCTACATAACCTATGGATCCAGTAATTTACAACTTTTCAATTAAGCAGTAGAACCCTTTCCTCTCTTTAAGAGAAAAAGAAAAATATGGGAACTGAAACTCTCCTTAAGATACAAGCACATGAAAGAGGTGGAGTTAAGGTTGAGCTGTGCTGGCTGAGCAGGGACAAGTCTACCTTCTGTTCTCTTTCTCTGTCCCTGCTTCTCTGCATAACTGCAAGGGGAAGTATTTCTCAGCACAAAATGCACTTTAAACAAATGCACTTTCCTGCTTTTGTCTTTGCCCACATGGATTTCACTGCCTGGATGCTGCTCTCCCATATGGAGCTGTGGGTAGTTACAAAGAAATTTCATTTACAAAGACATCCCCAATCCCTGGATCAGAAATTGGGATCATCTCTCTCTGAAATCTTAAATCATTTATTTTTTCTTCTTAGGGCCCTTCCTCACTTGTGTGATAAATGTTGACATGTAAAATCTTCAGTTAAATATTTAGGAATTCTGGTACACTGAAGAATGCATACAGATAGGAAATATGCTTGCCCTAGCTGTGAAAGCAAAATAAATGTACCTCTACAAGCAAATGTGCCTCTACTCACGTGTAAGCTTCAAAGTCCCCATTGTTGATAGCTTCAATCAGCTGTTCAGTGACTTTGATAATCTCTTGCTTCCGTGCTAAAAGCAAAGATACAGAGTCAGGTGAGAACAAAAGACAAAAATCATGTAACTATAGCCCTAATAATGTTATTTTCCTTAAAGAGGGTACATCCTCCATGGAACAAATGCGCCGTTCCTTTCTCTACAATCTTGTTAGTCAAAGTGCACAGGCCAGCAACACCTGCCTCTTCCTGAAGTCACTAGAAACACAGAATCTTAGGTTTCAACCCAGTCATACTGACTCACAATCTGCTTTGTAACAGGGCTCTCAGGTGACTCCTAGACACATTATCTTTGGGAGAAGCCATTGCATCTCATTAGTTAGAAAAACTGTAGTCACCTGGAAGGTAAAATTCATTTTTACTATCTTATCAACTTGATTGGCTTTGTGAACATTTTCCTCTTCACCATTAACAAATGTGCCACTTAAAAGTTACTCTTTAAAATCTTAGAATAAACATGGGTGTGCAGGTGCCTCTGGAGTAACCTGTGTCACAGTCTTTTGGGTCTATCCCCAGGAGTGGGATTGCTGGATCATATGGCAGATCTATGTTTAGCTTTTTAAGTAGCCTCCAAATTTTTTTCCAGAGTGTTTGTACTAGTTTACATTCCCACCAACAGTGTAAGAGGGTTCCTTTTTCCCCGTATCCTAAAAGCAACTGAGGCCAATAAGAAAAGGGGACCAGGAACTAGAGAAAAGGTTAGATCAAAAAGAATTAACCTAGAAGGTAACACCCACGCACAGGAAATCAATGTGAGTCAATGCCCTGTATAGCTATCCTTATCTCAACCAGCAAAAACCCTTGTTCCTTCCTATTGTTGCTTATATTCTCTCTACAACAAAATTAGAAATAAGGGCAAAATAGTTTCTGCTGGGTATTGAGGGGGTGGGGGGAGAGAGGGAGGGGGTGGAGTGGGTGGTAAGGGAGGGGGTGGGGGCAGGGGGGAGAAATGACCCAAGCCTTGTATGCACATATGAATAATAAAAGAAAAAAAATCTTAGAATATATCTGTCTGCAGAGTAAAGATTACAGCTTGCATTGAGACAGTCAACTTTATGTGATCATTTGCATCTTATTACTGTTAGTGCAATCGGCCCTACAAAAAGGAATGCCAGCTCTGTGACTGGCCATCACATTTAGATAAATGGCTTTTAGAAACCCTGTAAATTAGAAAAGAGATCTATGAATCCATGTGGTAGACGTAGGCAGATGAGCAGATGGAAGCCCTCCCTCTTATGGCTGTCAAACCCAAACACCAAACATGACTTTTTCCTATTTTTAGCCCACAACAGGGCCAGAAATAGTTGACTTGGCTCTATTACTTATTTACTTATTCAGTAAATTCTTTTCAGATTACATCTGTCTCAAATATTCTTTCCCTTTCTTGAATGCCTACAGCGTCTGTATCATTCGTTTGGCAAGTATGTCGTACTTACTATACTTGACACTTTCCTGTGTAAAACCACTTGTTTGTTCAAATTTTATTAAAGTTTGCATACTGTGTAAGCTGCCTTCCTACTTAAACTAAAAGTTTCCTGTGAGAAAAGAACACCGTATTTCTTTGTAACCCCTAAAAAAGCTTTGCCCAATGTCTTTAAAAAAACAGATGCACAAAAGATTTGTGAACTTGATCAATTGAGATGAATGATAGCCTTAATTTCAGCACATTTATGAAGTTACTATAGGAAAGACTTTAACAGTTAAATCTTCATGGGCTTTGTTTCAAGGGACATTGAGATACTTCCTCAAAGTCACTCTAAATAGGCTGTGGGGGAGGGGGAGTAAAGGACACAAAAAGTTATTTCCAATTTCTCTTAGTGAGGCAATAAGAGTGTGATCCATCATGGGAAAGTCAACTTGGTGACGTCTTCTTGGTGAAAGGAAATGAGTTTGGATTGTTTATGAAGCTGAGTTGCAGATTTTAATCACAAACTTAAAAGCTTATAATCACTTTCAAACTCCAGTTTATCCAGGTGAAGCCTTCCTTATTTAAAAATATTCCATAAACCTAATTTGAATCCATTAAGACTCTATTAAACTACCTGATCACAAATACAGTAATCAACATTTTGTGAAGTGATTATTACATTTGTCCATAAAATGACCACAAACAATGTACAGGTAAGAATTCACATTTAGTTACATAATACTTTTCACTTCTATAAAATAACATAACCCGGGGTTTTTTAGCTCCTGCACATCTCTAAAACATTTATTGACCCCGCTCATCTAATTGATGGATATCGATAACACATCAATTCTCAAAGAGTACCGACAGAGGTGGGGCAGGGGATGTTTCTGTAACAGGGAGGTTGACACATTCTAGCTCAATTTAGTGAGACCGTAGGTGATTCATGTGTCTGTGGCCTCAGCAGAATGAAGGTTTGGCAAAAGCCCACAACAGCTGACTGGATTCCAAAATATGAAGGGCACGAGTGAGGAGCAGCTCAGAAAGTGATATTATAAAAACATGGCTACCAAAGATTCTTTGTCATATGAAATCCTCATTTTAAACTAACAATTAACAGGGAATGGTGGTGTACACCTGTAATACCAGCACTTGGCAGGCTGAAGCAAGATGATCACAAGTTCCAGACCAGCCTGGATTATAATAGTGAGAACTGTCTCAGCAATAAAAACAAAACAAAAAACCAAAAACAACAAAAAAAAACAAACCAAAACAAAAACCTAGGAAAAGTTTTACTATGCTATATAGCTGATTGGAAAATAACAGTTTGAAAACAATGTAAATGTTTTTTAACTGACAAAAATTAAAAAAAAAAAAAAGAAAAAAGATGAACAAAAAAAGTCTTTTGTGGGCTTCAGGAGGCTGAAGCTGAGTCCACAGAGGTGAGAAGTTTAGGAGCAAGAGCTTCCTGAGGTTTCTGGAGCCTCTGCCTCCCTGGAGAGCACAGCAGGGAATCAGAGCCTTGGCAGGGGTGGCCTTTTTTCCTCCCCAAACCACCACTGTGCAAATGCTGATTGCTCCCTGAACATGTGGAAGCTACAAGGCTCAAATTTTGTCCTGGGTGCTCAGATCCACACTGATTGCCTTTTAGTTTTTATACTCAGAATCAATGGTGTTTTCACTGGCAGAGCACCAACTGGGGAGTAGCCAGGAGACCTGTGTGCTGCATCACTATGGAGGCAATGTGACTGTCTTGGCTGAGGAGGGGCCTGGGACTCAGGAGAGCACTCATTTCCCTGGGGCAAAGTAGCCTGAGTGAGTCAGGGCAGGCGGCACACAACAGCTGACTTTAAAGGAAAGCAGAAGCCTGGAAGTGAATCATTTGTATATAGAAGTTGGCGGCTGTCATTGGAGTGGTTGCCACAAGCCTGCATCTGACCTAGAGCAAGAGGGAGAGCATTGTGCTGGCTTGCTCTCCTCTCATCAGCAGGAGGCTAAGGCACAGTCACTGGGCTGGGCCCCTACCCAGGGGAGGGTCCACTTTTCTGTCCTTTCCTCTTCTGGAATATAAGAACTGACCATTCTAGAAGTCAAAGTTGTAAGAGTTTGGAACATGTCCCTAGTCTCACCAGCCTGAGGAGAGCGTGTAGCACTAAGGCATTCCCTGAAAACCAAGGCTTCCTCCACCCCACAGCTAGCCCTGTAATCTCAGGGAGTCAATTGCCCTGTAGTTTTATTTCTAGAATGGAGGTGCTCAGGCCTGTACCCACAGATCTCAAATTAGTTTCTGGGGATTCCCAGGTTTGGGAAAAGAAGACAAGAGTACATGTGATGGATGTTCCAGATTCTTAAGTATGATCACTTTCCATACAGAAAAACTGGGATGTTTTCCCACATAAATTCACATTTTTGACATTTTTATTGTTCTAAAGAGGCCTAAAGGGTAAGATAGGATGTGAATGGTCCCAGCGTTTGAAAAAATAAACAAATAAGCAAAGCCAACAAACAAAGCCACAATTGAGAGTAATTATGCAATAAAAACAATTTACAGATTTCAAGATTTCCTGAAATATCAGCTCCAATCACCACAGCAATGCTCTGAGGTATTTTGAACAGACATCACAGAGGTAACCAGAGTCATGGCACTGCCCAAAGGCAGGAGTGTGCTGATTCCTTCTTCCCCTAATCTTGGAACCCTCTCCTTTCACTGAACTTCACTTTCTGCCTCCTCCCACCCCTTTTTTCTGTGCTAGGGGTGGAAATGACCAACTCACTCATGCTATATCCCCAGCCTTTCTGCTTAAACACTTGCCTGATCATATGAGCTCACTCTTATTTGCTGTTTTCTTTCTTTACCTTTTAAATATTTTCATTCCTTTTCTAGGTTCAATTCGAGGCCCTTGGGGATTAGGGGTATACCTCCCTGGTAGATCAGATCACTTGCATAGTGTGTTGGAGGCTCTGGGCTATATCCCCAGGGGAAGGAGGTGTACCAAAAAAAGTCAACTTGAAGCTCTCTTCTCACTTCACCCTGTATTCCTAGGGGCCTGGCTACATATGTGTTTTTAATTGCCATGTATGTCCTGTTAAAGGACAAAATTATAACAACAATTTCAAGATCTTAATTAGCTTTAGTTTCAATTCTAGAATCAGGCAACATTTCAATCCATCAAATAGATAAAGGTGTTGCAGTGAGATGAACCGAGATGGTTAGTTTTATAGATAGAGAAAGAAGAAAGCAGACACAAAAAAATGGATTGATCATTTCATGGCGAAAAGGAGACAGACCAGGGACAAATAACTGGCTGGCTGACGTCAGCTACCTTACATTGTGTAAGGATTAGGCACAGGGAACTTCATCATTTGCCAGTTGAAAATGCCTATTTGGGAAGTTTGGCCATTACCTCTTTAATCCTGATTTCTAGAGAGGACCTATAAATAGCTTAATTTTAGCTTAGTGACATAGAACTTAAGCATCTGTGACTCCACTCTGACATAGCTTGGTCTGTTAGGACCCAGTGCAGAAACAGTCCAAAAAAACAAAAACCAAAAAAAACTGAAACAAACAAATGAACTAACAAAAAACAAGTCTTTCACTAATTTTTATT